AGTTGGATAGTGAGTGGGAAAATGTCATTTCCAAGATCTGTCCATCAAGGAAGTATGACATTCTCATTGCTCGAAGATTTCTGAATTAGGAGGAGAGCTGAGTTTGTTGGTCGAGAATGTGACTGAGTGTCACGGGCTTATATGCATGTTTTGATTTGCTGAGTGGCTCAGTACTGTAAATGCGCAAACTAACCAACTATCGAGGTATCACGAGACAGAGTTGAGTAGAAATACTTGGGAATAACTCATACCAAGAGTTGATCTACATTCTAAAATCCAAACTAAGCTATTCTGATACACCTCTGAAAAGGCATGCTCTCTTTCCAAACAGAGGAACGGAGCAGGTTTTAAGACTCGATTAAAACCCTCGATCCATAAGTAGTGACATGCCGCGAGTATTTTAATGAGACCGAAATGCCCAATTTGTATGGCCAGCTCCAATAAAGAGTGGAAAAAGACCTCCATGAAGTAAATCGTTTGGCAACCAATGTGGGCGTGCCGTCGAGTCGCTCCACGGAAACATGGTTCAACTGTTTTTATTTAATATATCAGCAATGTCATTGTTGTTTTGTGCCGTCTACTGTCTTTGTTATTCATTGATTGTTTGTATTTGTATGAATTATTTTTGCTCTATGTACAGCACTTTGTATACAGCGGTGGTTGTTTCCAAATGTTCTGGAAGTACAGTTGAGATAAAGTTGAGTTGAGGTAACGGGATTTAATATACAGCATACCATATGAAACTGCGGACATATTGCCCATCGCTAATGATCTCGTACCTGAAGTGGAAGCCTTCATAGAACCAACACTTTTGCCAACTGATAAACGGTACTAATAAAAGACACTGTAGTAAATGTCTTAAAGTACAGCATATCTTGATTGCATTTGATGGCTGCCAGGTTGAGAAGAGGGAGGAGTTTTGTCTGACTGAGCACGACCTTGTCTCTGGAAACAGGCCCGCTTGAAAGTTTCCACCCGACACAACGACAGAGGCAACGCGCTGCCAGGCTCACGCTCTCTTCAAGAAACATTGAACATGCCTTTAAGATGATAAATTCGTCAGAGCCTTGTCCCGGAGCGAGCGTGCCTGACACGACCTTGATCGATTGCAGGCAAAACGACAGATGGCCATAAAGGACAATCATGTAACTGTAAGCTCATTTGCATAATTGCAAGTACACAAGTCGGCTTCAGACTACAAGGCCACATGGTGCTCGCACGTCACCAATGGGCTTGTGACAGAGATGTTGAGTGTTTATTGCCTGATTTCAGCCGTGGCACTCAAATCAAAAAGAAAGCAGCGGGAATATTCTGAACAAAATAAGCAAATGTGCCATTTTCAGTATTGCGGGGGGGTTATCAGCATGTAAAAAAAAAGCACTTTCAAATAAATATTGCTTTTGAATTTAAGCAGGAAGGCACTGAACAATAGAAAAGAGTAACATACCATAAAAAAAATTTCAACTTGTTTGACAGTGCATATTGCTGGCGCTGCATGCGTCTCACAATTAGATAAATTTCATATTTTTCTTAAATGGAGTCTATACTGTTGGTCCGTCCACATGTGCGGGTGCTAATGTGACAAATTATTGATTAGGCTAAAGCAGGGGTGCCCAAGTCCAGTCCTCAAGAGCTCCTATCCAGCCTGTGTTCCATGTCTCCCTCTTCCAACACACCTGATTCAAATGATCAGCTCATCAGCAAGCTCTGACAGGTGTGATGACGATCCTGCTCATTTGAATCAGGTGTGTTGGAACAGGGAGACATCTAATACACGCTGGAAAGGGGCTCCCGAGGTCACTCCTGAAGAGTCTAAAGAATTGAAAATGGCACTTTTGACGATGCAGTGTGAATGGTTGAACAGCTATGCAATTTTTGGGATCTCCTGAAAAATGATTTGAGGTACGAGGACTCCGCCTGACGCCACCGATGTATGATTTAAAAATAATGCAGCTTGCAGTTTAACAACATAAAAACATGACCACCGTGATTTCTTTTCCCACAAAAGCATGACCACTTTTGCGATACATCAACAATACCACAAAGGGATTGCAAAATCCCTGATAAACATAATGTTCTTTTGTATTCACTGAAAAAGTTTTTGTTGAATTGTTGCACGAAATAAAAATAATCTGGATCCAGATATATATGTATTTTTTAAGTAGACTCGACATCCATCCATCCATTATCTAAAAAGCTGATCCCCACGAGGTTTGCAGGCATGCTGGAGCCTATTCCAGCTGTCTTTGGGCAGTTGGCGGGATACACTCTGAACTGGTTGCCGGCCAATCGCAGAGCACACATTCAGTAGAAAATCAACCATTAACGCACAGTCACACCGAGGGACAATTGAGAGTCTTCCATTAACATAATATGCATTTTTTTGGTAGGTGGGAAGAAACCGGAGTACCCGGAGAATACCCACACAGGGGGAGAACATGCAAACTCCACACAGGAAGGCTGGAGCTGGAATCGAACCGGTACCTCTGCACTGTGAGGCTGACATGCTAACTAGTCGGCACTGTGCCGCTCTTCGACTAGACATCGACTGAATAAATAAAAGTGAGTAAATTCAACACCCCATTTTTTTCCAGTCACTTTCCAACGCGTTTTTTCCCAGGATTCCTGCCTAGTAATCGTAACGCAAAGCTATACCAACACTGGCGCACCTACAGGAGAGAGGAGGGCATGGTGAGCAATGGCTCATTTATGTGAGACAGATGAGACCCTCGAAAGACACCTGGGACCTCTTCTAATTCGTGGAAAGATTAAATAATATGAGTCCTTTCTTTTCACATCTCTTGTGAAGTCTTAACATGCTCACGCACCTATTTTACATTCAATCCCTCACGCTGTTCTCTACGCACTACCTCAACAATAATTCAGCAGCGGTAACGTCTTCTCATTCGATATCCCTCTCTATTAACTTCTTTTCGGTCTCCATCAGTCCTTATCAATCCTCTCTCCGCTCTTTCATTACATCAGCTGTTCTCTCCGCATTGTGTTTTCAGATCACATTCACGCGCCGGCTTACACACTAAGTCACTCTTTACCTCATCACTCAGTGGAAAGTCAAGACGAGGTCAGAGCCGGTTGGTGAAAAAAATCGAGGGGGAAGCAGTGGTAGGGGCACGAGGAAGAAGAGTACTAAAAAAAAAAAAAAAAAAAAGGAGCCAAAGGTGAGATGAATGATGTTTAAGTTGACAATATTCAAGATGGTGGAGGTCAAAGAGGTCAAAAACGGGCAAGAGTTGAATGGGAGTGTTGAAATGAAAGAAATCGTCGTGCAAAATAATGAGGCTGGATTGGAAGACACTAAAGAGAAAGGGAGGGCAGGAAGAGCAGTGGAGGACAGATAGGACTGGGACAGAGAGGTGGAGAGTCGTTCGGAGATTTATAGCGGGCTGTTACAGAGAATCGACTGCATAACACGAGGTGCGACCACTTGAATAATTCATGAGGATACAGGGCACTCAAAACGCTCATCTATGAGGAAAAGGGAAGGCAAGCCATGGCCAAATTGTGGATTGTGTGAAATATCCTGAGCAGTGACTACAGAGTAGCGTTTTTTTTTTTTTTTTTTTTTTGTGTGTTTGTTTCCGCGATGTCCTATAGTAGGCCTACACTGCACACTGAGAATTCAAACAATCTGTTCAAGGTGGCTGTTGGACATCTGTCGGGATTTCGAAAAACGAAAGTAGTCTGTTTATCCATTATGGATATATGTATATGTACGCAAAAATGAATGCTGTTTGGAGTCGGTTTCACCACTTGCGAACTAAACTGCTCGCAAAATGTTCTGTCGGCAACAGCTATCAGCCAACAGCTGAGAGCCGGCTTGACTACAAACAGCAGCGTGGTGAAAGATTTTCCTGGAGGTCTGACGGGCAGGTGAGGAAAACCGGGGATACTTATGGGCTTGAACCATGAAAAAGCAAGATGGTAAACTTCTCAAGATCATACAAAGAAAGGTCTGGATCGCTAGAGATGGAATTAAACAGGTGATCAGTTGGTAATGGCTAGTTCCTCAACACAGTATCCAGTAAGTGCCCAGCTGAAGGTAATAAACCATTATTTGCAATATGTATTCTTATTTTTTTTCTTAACGAGACTTTGCGGCGGCACGCCGGTCGACTGGTTAGCACGTCGGCCTCATAGTGCAGAGTTGGAGGGTTTGCTTCCGGCTCCAGCCTTCCTGTGTGGCGTTTGCATGTTCTGCCTGTGCTTGTGTGGCTTTTCTCCGGGTACTCCGGTTTCCTCCCACATTCCAAAAACACACGTAGGAGGTTAATGACCCTTGTGAGGATAAGCAGATGGATGGATGGATGCTTGATTCAAAAGTAACCAGACACGTGCAAAGTCGTAAGGGTCAGTGCAAAACATTGCCACCATTTAAAGTGCCTCTGATTAATAATCCCAAATAAAATTAATTTTTTCCTGACATTTTTATTTCATAAGGCCGAAGATTTTGTGCTAATACAGACTGTTTTGGGGAATTAAGGCCCGAGCTCTAGTTGCAGAAAAAGAGCCCAAAGCAGAATGCTGCCAGCACCATGGTCCACTGTAGGGATGCCATTTTATTTTTTTCCATGAAGAGCAGTGCTGTGTTTGTGACAGACATAACTTCTTGAATTATGGCGAAAAGTTCAACCTTGTATTTCTATTTAATGCACAGGCTATAGCTCCCATGAATGGTGGAAAAAAAAAAGTTTGGAAATAACTCGGTCTCATTTTTTTCATAATAAAAAAAGGTGGCATTTGAACAGAGGTATTCATCCTGTTAGATCCACTTGAGAGTAGTTTTCTATAATTTCTCTTTCAATTGAAATGCATGATTACCGGTACATTAAAACAGTAATTGATACACTGTGCTTAGAACTGTGACCACTTCGGTGGTGTTGTATGACCTCAGGTGAGCAGTCACAGGTACTGTGAAACAGCTTGATCAAACAGAGACACATGCAAACAAGGCGCTGAAACAGTCGGGATCACACACTTACCGAGTTGATGCAGGACAGCTCCTTGTTGAGCAGCCAGGGCAGGGAAAGTATCCCCACTCCACTGTAGCACGACTGAATCCTTATTTTAATCTTCTCCTTGATCTGTCTCATTGTGAACAGACACAAAGCCGTCTCCTTGGGTGGCTTGGCTCTGTTCTTTTGGCCCTGGGCAAATACAGCAAAAAGAACCTCTTCTTGCTCTTGAATACCAAGCGATTGAGCCAAACGGGACCCCGGTCGAGCCAAATAAGCATCCTGGATCAAGCGATACTCCACTCCATCCTTGGTGCAGCCGATAGGGAACTCAATGTAGGAGTAGAACTTGGGATCGTCCACGCAAAGCCGTACAATCTTTGAGGTAAAAAACTGCTCGCTGCCGGCATCGGGCGAAGTGAGTTTTGTGTCGAGCTGTAAAGTGAGATAATAGACAAACTGCTCGCTGTTGAAGCCGTAGATGTAGTAGATGTCAAATGCCGGGAATTTGGAGAGCGTGTCCGATGGAATCTTCAATTGGGACGACACAAACTCATCCTGGTAGACAAAGCTGAACATGTCCGCATTCTCCTCGTTGGACATTAACTTGCGGCTGGACAGTGTTGGAAAGTACTCCGACTTCCCATCAATGGGAGTGCCAACAAAAAGTTTCCCACCCCCGCCAAAAGCATCTGGGGAGATGACTACCCCCGACATGGTGCTTGCCTCAGCAACACTGGATAGATAATGCTCCTTACGGTGGTGGGGCTCGCCAAGTTTGAACAAATCATCCAGACGGAGGAACTGGCAAATTCCCTGGGAAGTACTCCCACAGGCAATTAAGCGGTTGTGGGCATCATCAAGCAACAGAAGTTTATTGATATTGGGAGTCTGCACGAGCTCATGAGGGCACGACTGGACACCCGGCGGAGGGTAACAGCGAGGATTGTCCGTCACAGGGCCGGTCACGTGGCTACGTAGCTTGGTGAGGTTGCTCGACAGCTTGTAGATCCAGTTGACAGCGCCCAGGTAAATCTCGCCTGATTTGTTATGGACCACCAAATGCGTAAGCCCCCCTTCTGGTGGGGAGAAAGACTGGAGATGGGATAAGGGCGAAGAGGAGGAGGAGGTCATGGACAGGGGGAGGAGCAGGAGGAAGATGAGAGGTGAGCGCATGACTGTCATTCGAGTCTCGTCGTGCCGCTTTCAGGTGTTTCGGCTATGGGACTGGAGGTGGCCCGTTCTTCTCCTTTCGTGGCTCTTGTTTTTACAACTTCATGGCTTGTTCTTCCACTTCGACCGCCTCCAGCCCTGAGAAAAAGAAACAAGGATAACTATTGTCAAAGAAGATCATGGGATGCACTTTTCACACAACTGTAAATAGATTTTTTTTTTTTGCATCAAAATAGAACAGAATGAATAATACAGCTTTCTAAAGCCCAGGTTCCAATCCAAGCAACGCACTTTTGCACCGAAACAATCCATACCATACCATAAAACACCGTAGCATTCTCTTCATTTTTTTTTCTTCCATTTGAGTACCAACCAAAGCATGAAGCGGTCAAGTGAGGTTCTCGGTAGTCAACTCAAACGATTCTACTTGGTACATAAAACTGCATCTCCTCTTTGGTAGATTATAGAAGGCACAATCACATTCTCCATAACAATCTGTTATAACAGTTCTGACCACCAAGCAAACACACAAAAAAAAAAAAGACTTCACTGAATCATCATCCGATCCTCAAAAACGACTGCATCAATGAACTTAGTCAACACAAAAAAAAAAAAAAAAACCAGACAAGACTAAAGAAATGATTTCAGACTCCATCCACTCAAGTCATCATATCTTTCAACTGCTGCCTGTAAAGAGCTCCCTCGACCCTCACAACCTGCTTAAGAGCAGCTTTTCCCCCCACTGCAATAGGTCAATAAACTCTTCACCTCCTTTAGTTTAATTATCTCGGAGTCTGCATATTTACAGGGTGTCAACACTGTTGTTAAATTTTGTACTGTGTGATTGGTTGTGTGTGTGTGTGTGTGTATGTGTGTGTGTGTGTGTGTGTGTGTGTGTGTGTGTGTGTGTGTGTATCTATATATATAAAATGAATGTGTGCAGAGGCATAGAGACAGCAGTTATGTAAAAATAAAATAAATAAAATAAACAATCTCTGAATCTGAACGTGAGCCCCGTTCTGGAATGGGAAGAACAAACTACCGTAGATGTTTATTTTGATTCTGTCAGGGAGATGACTAATCAAGTTGATTGTTGTTAAATTCATTGATTAAATCAGATTTTACCATTCCGCACTGTACCGCGCTGAGCTGAAGAGACCCGTACCGCTTGATGGAAACTTGTCTGGAAAATCCTGGCTAAACTGCTACCCGGCGTTAATTTCATGAAGTGCACAAGACAAACGCTTCTTAAATCGGGAGGTCTATTCTCACTTGCTGCCACCCATTCTCAAATTCAACACATTCCTCTCTCTCTCTCTCGCTCTCTCTCTCTCTCTCTCTCTCTCTCTCTCTCTCTCTCTCTCTCTCTCTCTCTCTCTCTTCCCTTCAGACACTTCACTCTTGTCAATAGCGTCTTTCATCCCGGGCCCAGTCATGATTACAGCGGTCCAGATCACCACGCTGTTGCCAACCCTATCGGGACAATACAGACCCTGTTTAGAGCCCCGTGACACACACCCAGACAAAATGTGAGCAGACTACACATGCTTACAGTATGCGGTCCGGGAGCATCTTTTCACAATCACACACTGATCCCACTGACTTCACGGTCCTCTGGCGTGAACCAACTCAATCATATGCACATGGGACATTACGACACGGCCCACACAGACACACACACACATGTGCAACCACGCATGCACACACACGCACTTACTAACACACACTCACTGGTGTGTGACAATTGCCCACATGCCTCTGCACATTCACAAAAAACGGCACAAGGGAATAGCTAATTTAAAAAAAAAAAAAAAAAACTATTCGAAAGGACAGCTATTTTCAACATCTTGTACTTGACAATTTCTATAAATAAGTGAAAACGGAGCACACGTGCAGGAGAAGAAAAAGAAGAAGATATGAGGAATCGTTTGACAAAACTGGGACAGGAAGATGAAGAGAAAAATGGAATGTCTATGAAGTGGAACAAAACAAGTTTTTAATTTAAAAGTTGTTCTGTAATGACTGTGTCAGACCTAATGGAAAAGTTTACAGATGTACTTATATGAAGACCGTTGCCGAGAAAATGGAACAAGCTCCAGATAGGGGACAACAATTGCATGTACTGTATTCATTTATCTAAATGATAATGAAGCATATTTCTTCACAGAGTGTGTGTGTGTGTGTGTGTGTGTGTGTGTGTGTGTGTGTGTGTGTGTGTGTGTGTGTGTGTGTGTGTGTGTGTGCGCGTGTGCGTGCGTGCGTGCGTGCGTGCGTGTGTGTGTGTGTGTGTGTGCGCTCATGTGATTTAATCCCATGTTTTAGATATCAATTGCAAAAATTGTCATGGGTCTTTACTTCAATCCAGTTTAAAACATTCCAGCATCCTTCCCATAGCTTTAAAATCATTTCACTGGTATACTGGCTTGGAATATGAGAATAGATTAGCTGTGTTAGCCATGGCGGCCCCTGCTCACCTACTTCATAAATGAGAATATCTGTTGACCCCCCTCTTGTTGGATTAACCATGCTGGTGTTCATTTTACAATTTGAACAACAATTTAGTTTGCAAAGCTGAATGAAACATCAAGTGAGAAAATGAACGTCATGCGTAACAGGGGTTCCAAAATAAAAAAAAATATTTTGCTTAGCTTTCCTTGGATCTTAATTTATCATAGAACGAGTTTCTTAAAATCATGATCAAGTACATTTTGGCTCCTGTATCTGAACCTGTGAATATTCTTTCTTCGCACGTGATGGACATGCTGCAGCTCACCTGACACGTTCAATAAAGCCGCGGAACGCTTGAAGTATGTTCATTGCTGATTAATAGCTGCCAGTGAGGCTCTGACCTTAGCCAAAACACTTAGACTAATTTATACAAAGCACTTCTTGAGCATGACGCTCACATCCCTTGCCTACGACGGTGAACATGATGGAGCACATCCTGCCTCCATCTGATCTTGTTTACGAGAGTGGCGCGTCTCTCCACATAAGACGATTCAATACGATTGTCGACACGTGGAGTACGATAAAATTCAAGGGTGTAGTTAATTGAAAATATAACGATTCAGTTTGATTCAGTGGGATTCGACTCGATACACATATCGAAATATCAGTCGATGGATCGACGATCAAAACAAAGCAACTTTAATAGCATTTCTAATACATTGCATAAACGTTAACATTCTAAACCTTTCAACTTTTTCTTGACAAGTGCAATGTAAAAAAACGGGAACACGAGTTGGAACTGAAGTATGTGGTTGCATTAGCCAGAAGAATGACTACGGGTTGGTATTTGTTCATTTTGTCGCGGCTTAGATGTGGAATTCCTACACGGCTTGAACTGGATTTGCCTCGAAGGGACTGCTCTGTTTTGGGTCATTCGGAATGTCAAACACGTGAAGGTACACTTAAACTGGCAACACATGATCAGCGGCATGACCAAAGTTGACACCAAAGACACAATAAATGCTTATTTGATATTTTTGTTTTGAAACCCATCTTTGTTCATTTTATGCATCACGGGGTGCTTGCACAGCTTCTCACTTTAATATGGTAAAAAAAAAAGAAAAAACTGTCATATGCCCTCAGTATGAGTCTGATCTATCTTAACACCACGTACCTCGCAACAGATGGTATCAAAGTTAAAGTCACAGCACAGGTCAGATGAGGATAACAAAGAGGAAACACGAACAGGCACAGGAAGAGTACAGACACTTGAACGTGAGGTGACTTTTATTTGGAATCCATTTTTGGAAAAGACATTTTGACTAGCTGCTAATACGGCCGGATGGATTCGACTCACAGCCTCCACTCCTGGCTCTCTGGATGAGAGAGGGAATGGATGGGGAATTTGTTGAATAGATCCACAGTCACACAAACTGCCAGCAAAACCAAGGAACATAATTTGAACATTTGTCCAATGTTTGTGAATATACTAAGGATCCATTCATCCATTTTCTTAGCTTAGAGTGTTTGGGAATCTCATTGGATCTGAAGCCTTACCCAGCTGACTGTGGGGCAAAATGTGGACTACGTCGTAGACAGGTTGCCCGTCAATCACAAGGAGCGTAGAGAGACAGACAACCATTAACACTGACAATCACACCAATCACTGGGTGAAAACGGAAACATGCTGCCTGAATGGATGTCAGATGAGTGAACCACTACACCACCAGTGACCATAAACTGCACTTATCAGTCGAGCTGCTATTTTGATGGTGATAGTATAGGCAAAAGTAATAACCGATGCAAAACAATGCAGCACACTCTTGTCATTAAATAATCTTGAATTACCAGTTGGGCACCCCGGTGATCAAGTGGTTAGCGTGTTGACCTTACAGTACAGAGGTCGTGGGTTCGATCCCCGCTCCGGCGTTCCTGTGTGGAGTTTGCATGGTCTCCCTGTGCCTGCGTGGGTTTTCTCCGGGTACTCCGGTTTCCTCTCACATTCCAACAACATGCATGGCAGGCTGATTGAACACTCTAAATCAGGGGTGTCAAACTCATTTCACATGGTGGGCCACATACGGCCTCAGTAGATGTCAAGTGGGCCGGACCATTAAAATGATACAATACTTTGCTATAAATAACCAAAACAATATGTCTTTCCTTTGTTTTGGTATAAAGAAGCACAAGAACATTAGGAAAATGTTGAAATTTAATGAACATATCTTTTACAAAACATTTCATGAAGCACCTTACATTTCCTTCGACAAATGTGCAATTTACTTTTATCATTCACATATATGCATTGCAACTGATCCCACTGATTGTACAAACTTTAACAAGTAATTGGTATTGAAAAATATAGTAATGCACTTTAAGATTAAACAAGATTCATAAAGAAAGCAAGTTTTAAAGCATTTACACGTGCATATAAAATCTAAATGTAATCCCTGCCTACACCTTACAAACTAAGGAGAGTGCTATTAAATGTGTAAATGTGAGAGTGCTATTGATAGCGTCTGCTGTCATGGGTCTGTCTCAGTGACAGACTGAGGCTGCTGTTGTCTTCTTCTCTGATCAAAACAGTGTCCCCTTGCGGATACTCAATGAATTGCACCTGATTAAAAATATTAATTCTGTGTCTTTAATGCATTTTTTTCACTTTTACATTATCCTGCGGGCCTGATTGA